TGTGTGTGTGTGTGTGTGTGTGTGTGTGTGTGTGTGTGTGTGTGTGTGTGTATGTATGTATGAGCGTTGGGTTGGGTTGCCTTCGCGTATGCTGTGTGTGCCTGGTGCCCATACAGAGGTTAGATCCCCCGGAACTGGAGTTGTAGGTGGCTGTGTGGGTGTTAGCCAAACCCAGGGCCTCTGCAGGAGCACCCACGCTCCTGACGCTGAGCCCACTCTCCAACCCCGCCCCCACCCCGTTTCGGTGTGACAAGTCTCCCTGAACCGATTGGCCTTGAACTCGAGATCCTCCTGACGCTGCCTTCCTGAGTTTGCAGAAGGTGGTAGGCAGGGGACATGTGACACCGCCTAAGTAGGGATCTCCTGTCATCTTAACGGGGCTGCTGGCGCGCCTTTGTAGTAACCAGGGGTGGACCAGAGGTGCATTTAAAGCATGCACACCCAAGTACCTGCTGCCACCTGGTGGCAGTTCCCTGGAATTGCAGGCTCTTTTGATGGGCCAGGATTCGGTTTGTCTTGATTTTATAGGTTCAGTTTGTAGTCAAAATGCATTACAGATTCTTGAGGCTTACAGTATGGCCAGCCTGGGTATTCTGGAATAGGAAGCATTCATCAGCTTCCTACTGTCGCACAGTGGGATTCTACACACAGATGGAAAGCGGAATGTGAGTGATGTCCAGGGCTCTGTGGGGCCTGTGGATCTGAAACCAAAGTTAACCCTGATGTTCACTGTTCATGTTGGTTTTTTTTCAAGACAGGGTCCCCTGTCTAGCCCTGGCTGCACTAGAACTCGCCCTGTACACCAGGCTGGGACTAAGGCATGTGCCACTACCATCTGACATTCATATTGGTTCTAAAATCAAGTGGGGTTTTTTTTTTTTAATTTATTTCTTTTTTATTTTATGTACATTAGTGTGAAGGTGTCAGATCCCCTGGAGTTGGTGTTTTTAATGGTTAAAATCTGTAGTCACAAATATTATTTTTGTCTGAAAGTGACCCCAGAAAACCTACACACTTAGAGGTGTGATTGCCATCTCTGCTGTGGAAATGTAGCTGGCTTTTATGCTGTGGGATGCCGTGGAGGGAGGGAGGCGCAGGGCTGTGTCGTGGCTGAGGTGGTCCTGGACCTGCAGTCCATAGTCTTCTGGTGATTTGGAGAGAGGATGATTACAAAAACATCAGTTACTTGTTTCTATAAATGTTTCATAATGCAAACTGAATGCAATGAAATATTAAAAATATCATTCATTAATTATTGAAAAGTTCAGCCTCAGGAAATGGCCACATCTCTCATTATACTGCCAGCTTAAAGGAGCAATTGAGGAATTCTGAATTATAAAATAGAGTACTGGAATGGTGGTGAAATTAATTGCCACAGAGTTATTTTCTGCTCTGAAACTTGTTAACCATTTTTAGCTGTAGCCTTTCCCAGCCGGTCCATTCTGTGTTAGGACATTGCAGGTGTCCTGCACTTTGCTTTGCTTTAATAATTTTACATTCTTGTTGGTGGGGGGGGGGGCAGGTAATGTCATTTTAAGCTGAGTTTTATGGACTCAAATATCAGAATAAAACTCAATTTTATTTTATTGTGTTTGTACTAATACAAGTCAGTATCAAATGCTGCTATTAATTACAAGCCAAATTAATAGTTTCCGTTGTAAAATGAAAGGTCGGGGTGGGATTCAGTGGCGTGCAACTATAATCCCAGCAATTTGGGAGGCGGACCTACCCAGCCTGGGGGTGGGGTGGGGGAGAGAGAACTAAAATACCGTTTGCCTCACACGGATTGCCCATGCCCAGCTTCCCGCCTAGTGTGGTTTGTGTAAAAATCGTCTGGGACGCTAACTGGGGTGTCACCAGAGGGTGGGCCGCCCAGCCGGGTTGCACAGCGGAGTCTCCCTCTGTTCCGTGAGCCCTTTAATAGAAGGCTGGCGGGTCCCCCCGCCGCCGTGGGGGCAGAGGGCGGGAGTGCTGACCCGGGTTAGACTTCGCGTGGGGCCCTTCCCTAATCCAAGCACCCCTCGCTCAAAGCGTCGGAGCCCTGAGCAGCAGCGGACTCTCACCAGCGCCTCTCTCCCTCCCAACGCAGTGAACAAGCACAAGCCGTGGCTCGAGCCCACCTACCACGGGATCATCACCGAGAACGACAACACGGTGCTGCTGGACCCCCCCCTCATCGCCCTGGATAAAGACTCGCCGCTGCGCTTTGCAGGTAGGCGGCCCGCGGCTCCCCGAGGGCGGGCAGGCGCGGATGGGGAGGGCGCACGCTGGCTGGGGCTCGGGCACCACGTGTGCGTCCTCGGCAGAGTCCTGAAGGGGAGAGACTGACCGCGATTGCATCCCCACGTGCCCTGCCTCCTGCCGACGGGCTGACGCCGTCTAGACGCAGCGCAGACGGAGCACGCGCAGACCACGCCGAGTACGTGGTCCGCGGGCTGGGACCGCGCTCTGCGGCCTTCCCTGTTGTCCACCTGCTCAGAGGCCACTGTCGCCTCCCCCCACGCGCTCGTCCCTTCCGTTCACCTGCACAGACTTCAGAAAGGTTCATCAGTCTCTGTGGGGAAAGGCTTTCGGCCTTGATAATTAAATTTTCTTGTATGGATTTATTTCTGTGTGTGAGTGTTTTGCCTGCATGTGTGTGTGCACCGTGTGAATGCTTGATGCCCACAGAGATCACGTCCCCTGGAACTGGACTCACAGGTGCTGGGAATCAAACCCGGGCCCTCTGCCAAGGCAGCAGGTGCGCCCAACGGTTGAGCCATCTCTCCAGTCTCTGTGGTTTAAAGTCGTGTATGGTGGTGTTATTCAAGGGCTACACATGCATGCTGAGCCAGCCTCTGTTGTTTGGTTTTTTACAGGCATGTCCGCCATGCCCAACTTAATAATTTCTTTTAACCCCTCAGTGTATGGGTGTTTTTGCCTGCATGTGCCTGTGCACCGTGTGCATGCAGTATCTAGGGAGACCAGAAGAGGGCATCAGATTCCTTGGACCTGGGTTCATAGTTGTGAGTGACCTGTCAGGGCCCTGATCCTGTGAAGCCGCCGCTGCGCCTAGTCACCGAGTGGTCTCTCCAGCCCTTTGTTTGTTTGTTTGTTTGTTTGGGGTTTTTGTTTTTGTTTTTGGATACAAAGTTTTGCTCTATCTTAATGCTAGTTGGTATCAAACTTGTCATCCTCCTGCCTCAGCCTTCTGGGGGCTGAGGTGGCAGGCACGCACCACAACAACCTGGCTTGATAACGTTATTAAATGTTTGGTGTAAGTTATTTCTTAAGATCGTACTCTGTGTCTTCTCAGAGAAAAATCTGTAGGACATGTCAGAGACTTTGATCATGTGATTTTCCTGCGTTGCTGACGTTCAGGATATTTCCCAGTCAGATCTGGTCTTGATCTTGTCATCTGTGTTAGTGCCTTGATTGGTGGAGGCCGTGCTTTCTCAGTCCCAAAGTTAGAATAAACACTGAAATTACACGCGCGCACGTGTGTGTAGCTGTGTCTAGCTTTTACAGGTCTCATTTGTTTGTTTGTTTATGTTTTTCAAGACAAGGTTTCTCCGTTCATCCCTGGCTGTCCAGGAACTCTCCCTGTAGACCAGGCTGGCCTCCAACTCACAGAGATCCTCCTGCCTCTGCCTCCTGCGTGTGCACCACCACTGCCCAGCTTTTTTTTTTTTTTTCGGTTTTTTAAATTTTATGAGCATAAATGTTTTGCCTGCAAGTGTGTTGGGAAGTCGGGCCCCTGGAACTGGAGTTACAGATGGTTGTAAGCTGTCATGTGGGTGCTGGGAATCAAACCCAGGTCCTTTACAAGAGCAACAAGTGCTCTTAAGCACTGAGCTATCGCCGCAGTCCTGTGTCCAGCTTTTCATGTGGGTTCTGGGAATCCAAACCTCAGGTCATCAGGCTTCACCAATCTCTTACACACTGAACCATTCCCCAGCCCAAAACAACTTTTGTGTGTGTGTGTGTGTGTGTGTAAGAGGATTTATTTTGATTCATTTAAAAAACAAGATTTATTTTTATTTGTTACATCCACCACACACACACCACACTCAAAATTCACACACTCTCCCTCTCTCTCGAGAGCATACACGCACGTTCACACATACACTCTCACGTACATACACACACCACATACACACGATCGCACGTACTCACACACTCTCTTCCCCTTTCTCTCTCTGAAGAGCACGTGCAGACACACACAATACACTCTCATGCACATACAGACAGCACACACGCAATACACACACACCCTCTGTCTCTCCACCTTTCTCGAGAGTGTGCGTGTGCGCGCGCGCACACACACACACACACACACACACACACACACACACACACACACTGGAAGTACCTGCAGAAGCCAGGAGAGGGAGGCTCTTGGATTCTGCAGCTAGAGTTCTAGGTGCCCAGCTCCAGTGTGTTTTGTACGTAGTCAGCTCTGTTCCTTCTGTGTGTGACATTTAGAGCTCTATCACAGTTTCAGTGGAGTTGCCTAGAATATGTTGTGAGTGGGTTTCTGTACATTCTTGTATTTTAAGAAGTGATTTAGTGGCCTGGGGAGACGGCTTGGTGGTTAAGAATACCTGCGGATCTTGCGGAGGACCAGGGTTCGATCCCCAGCAAAGGCATGGGGGCTCACAAGTATAACTCCAGTTCCAGGGGATCCAGCGCCCTCTTCTGACCTCTGTGGGCACCAGGCAAGCATGCCATGCACAGACATACATGTAGGCAAGAGCACTCTTACATATAAAATAAAAACAAAATGTTTTAAAAAAGAATAAGATGCAAATAAATTTTAGAGAAGAGAGTCATAGCTCAGGCCAGAATGAGCTTGCCTCGCCGCCCAGACCTTGAGTTCAGAGCCACGTAACACGTTTGGTGGCACATGCTTTTCATCCCTCAGCATTTGTGAGGTAGACAGAGGGACTAAACTTATTCAGGGTCATCCTCTGCTACATAACAAGTCTGAGGAAGAGCAGCCTGAGCTCTGTGAGACCGTCTCTCGAACAGTAAAGAAGAAAGAAATGACTGCAGCCCAGGGTTCTGGGGCTCCCGCCTCAGGCCTTGATTTGCAAAGTGCTGTGGAGCTCAGCCTAATAACACATTTGCTCCCAAGCATCAGGAATAGATTCCAGGCACTATTCCAATGTGCTGTGTAAATAAAAATTTGTAGCTAATCCTTCAGTGCTTGAAGTAAGGGTGCTTTCTGCCAGCCTCGTTTGTAAAGAGAGGAACTAGGGGCCGGAGAGATGGCTTGGTGGTTAAGAGCACCGGCTGCTCTTCCAGAGGCCCCAGGTTTGTTTCCGGCGCCCACATGGTGGCTCACGGCTGCTGTCTGTCCCAGGAATTGACACTCTCTTTCAGCGCACAGATGTATGTGCAAAGAAACACGCACAGAAAACTAAGGAAGTTTCTTTGTTTGTGTGTTTTTCGAGATTGGATTTCTCTGTGTAGACCTGGCTGTCCTGGACTTGGTAGACTTGGTAGACTGGCCTTGAACTTGCCTGCCTTTGCCTCCTGAGTGCTGGGATTACCACTGCCCAGAAAGAATTATCCTTAAGAAGAGAGAAAGCTGAGGCCCAGAGCAGTTTAAAGCTGCCCGGGCTGCAGCTCAGGCTGGACAGCGGATTCTCTGCTGTAGTGTTATAAACCCAGTAAGTCAGAAAGAGAAAGAAATGAACTGGATGTCACAGCGAACTGAAGGGAATAGTACCGCCATGAAATGAGCACTTCCCTTCTCCTAAGATTGATTTTGTTGTTTTTCTGTCTCCGCTGATCTAAGAAATCCTTTCCTTCCTTCCTTCCTTTTTTTTTTTTTTTTTTTTTTTTTTTGAGACAGAGTTTCTCTGTGTAGTCCTGGAGCCTGTCTTGGAACTCACTCTGTAGACCAGGCTGGCCTTGAACTCACAAAGATGTGCCTGCCTTTGCCTCTGCCTCTGGAGTGCTGGGACTAAAAGCATGTTTTATTTTATAAATTTTATATTTATTTTACACCTGGTAAAATAAATGTAAGTTTTAAAGATGTTAACGTATATTCTTAAATTTAAAAATTTCGTGGGAAATGTGTTTCTGTCTTTTTACATAAGTCCTTGTTACTCTGTCTCCTCACACATCCTTTAAATTAGTTTTTTATTAGGACAAGGCAGACATGGACACTTGCTCTGAGATTGTTTCGCAGTGCTCCTGAATCTGCTGTAGTGACACGATTGGAGAGGCAGCGGGGGAGCAGCAGCTCTCTCTCAGGCTGTCCTCACTGCTGGAAGTCACATGGCACGCCCTCACTGCTTGCCTTTCCCCGGTGGGGACACTGGTTCAGAGTGCTTCAGCGGATGACAGCAGTAATGCTGACCTTGTCCGTCTCTCTCCCTAGGACCCTAGCTAGATCGTTGCTTGGGATACACCAGGGCTCCATGATATGTGGAGGGACAAAGGAGTTTGTCTGAGCTCACACGCGTCACTGAGTGTGTTTTCTTTGAGCCAGGCCATCTGGCTGTGGCTCTCCAAGATGTTACCTTTTTCTTTCTTTTCTTTTCCTTTTTGTTTTTTGTTTTCTGAGACAGGGTTTCTCTGTATAGCTCTGGCTGTCCTCGAACTCTGAGATCTGCCTGCCTCTGCCTCCCTGAGCGCTGGGATTAAAGGCGCTCTCCACCACGCCTGGCTGAGATGTTAACATTTCAAAGTTGGGAATACTCTGGGTTGTGTTCCCAGCTCTATGTGTCACTTGACACGTGGACGGTATCGAGTATTCTGTCACTCATGCCGCCAGTGTGTTGTCAATATCAGATTCTTAGGGAGCACGCAGCCAAGTCCAGACTGTTTTCTTCAGTGAGCTCAGTTGGTATGACGTAAGACAATGCACCCGGGAATTTGTTGAAGATCCCTGCTGCAGGAGTTCATCTGTGTAGATGATTCTGACATTGACGACTCACTCCAGAAGATTTATTATTATTAGTAGTAGTAGTAATTTTTTAAAGATTTATTTATTTGAGTGCTCTATCTGCATGTACACCTGCAGGCCAGAAGAGGGCATCAGATGCCAGTATAAGTGGTTGTGAGCCACCATGTGGTTGCTGGGAATTGAACTCAGGACCTCTGGAAGAGCAGCCAGAGCTCCTACCCCTTGAGCCCCCTATCAGCATCATTATTTTTTTTTTAATAATTTTATTTGCAGTGGTGTGGGATCCCCTGGAACTGTTACAGACAGTTGTGAGC